TGGGGTTGCTTTGTAAATGCCTCACCATTTTCCTCTTGTTTTCAAGATATTCTCCTTGCCTTTGACTTTCAGCATATTTATCATGATATTTCTATTTGTGAGCCTCTTTGCATACGTTCTTGGCATTTGTTGAGTTTCTTGGATGTGCAAGTGATTGATTTTCAGTACTTGGTAAATTTGATAAGTTGTTAGCTGTTATTTTTTCAAAAAAATTTTTCTTCTTTTGTCCTGGTGTACCTATTATGTTGTTGTACTTAATAGTATTACATATCTCTGTGAATTTCCGTTCATTTTTCTTCATTTTTTTCTCTTTGCTCTTTGGCTCACATAATCTCTATTGACATATCTTCAAGTTTTGTAGTTCTTTCTGTTGCACTCTGCATTATTTTGCTTAGGACTGTCATAAGACACTATAGTGGGTGACTTAAACAATAGAAATTTATTGTCTTACAGTTCTGGAGCCTATGAATCCAAAATCAAGTATTGGTTGGGTTGGTTTATTTTGAGTGCTGTGAAGGAGGGAACTGTTCCAGGACTCTGTCATTGGCTTGTAGATGGCCGTATTTATGTTCAGAGGGTATTCTCATGGCATGTGTACCTGTCTCCACAATACCTACCACATTTTTATAAAAACATAAATTATATTGGGTTTAGGCCCACCTTAATGTATCATTGTTATTTGATTACCTTTGTAAAGACCCTGTTTTCAAATAAGGTGACATTTTGAGGTACTGGTGGATAGACTTCAACATATGAATTCTAAGAGTACACAACTCAACCTATTACAATACATTCTAATGAATTGTAAATTCATTTATTGTACATTTCCATTCCATAATTTCCATTTTGTCCTTTTTCATAATTTTTGTCTCTTTATTGATAGTCTCTGTTTGATGCAACATTGTCATTATGCCTTCTTTTACTTCTTTAATCATACTTCCTTTAGTTTTGTGAATATATTTATAATGGCTACTTTGAAATCTTTTTCTGTTAAATATGACTTCTGGTCACCGAAAGGCAGTTTCTGTTACCTGTTTGGTTTATTTTTTTCTTCTTCTCCTTGGGTATGAGACATGTTTTCTTATTTCTTTTCATGTCTCTTAATTTTTTTACTGGAAACTAGACATTTTAGATCATATATTGTAACAACTCTGTTACTGTTACTTGTTTTTGTTTTCTTAGCCACTGGCTGGGTTATTTTAAAGAAGTCTATTTTCCCCCTCTGATGTTGCTGTTTAGTGAGGGACAGCTTGACTTTGCCTTGCACATGTAGTATTTCTTTGTTTGAAATCTGGACAGTCTAATATATATTGTAGCAAGTCTCAATCAATATTCTTTTACTTTTCTAAGGTTTTTTAAAAATTATTTTTCTGGTCTGCAGAATCTGTCGCCCTGTGATGTACAATCATTGGTCTCCGTGTTTAGCTTATTTTGGGGTTCTTATTTTTATTTTTTAGCCTTGATTCTTTTTTTTTTAATATTTATTTTTTGGGAGAGCACAGCGGGGGAGGGGCGAGAAGAGAGGGGGGACAGAAGATGTGAAGCAGGCTCTGCACTTGACAGGCTGACAGCGAACCCAATGTGAGGCTCGAACTCCCAAACTGCAAGATCATGATTTGAGCTGAAGTCAGACACTCAACCTACTGAACCACCCACTTGTCCCTTAGGTTTGATTCTTAAGGGTCATTTTAGGGTCTCTGTAGGTGAGCCACTAATTTGGTAGAGGTTATGTTAATATACTTTGGGCCTATAAGAGTTCTACTGTCTTCTGATGTATCTGTGGGTCAGTTGGGGAATGCAGTCAAAGTTGCAGCCCTTTTTTAATAGTTCTTGTCTTTTCATTTTACCAAACTGTCTGATGTTCTTTAGTATGCCTGATACTTGAGTCTGCCAGAGATCTCTGACCTTATATGAATCATTTTATGGCTTTTCTCACTTCCAAGATCTCGCTGTTAAATTTCTGGTTTGTCTGCCATTTGCTTCTATTCAGACTCCAAGCTTGGTCTTATAAAACTGCAGGTTTTCCTTGTTCATCTCCTCCAAGTCTAACCCTTTCAGCCATCAGAGCTGTAGGTTTTTTTCCTCCCATCGAATTGATTTTCTCCCTTTAAACACAAAAGTACAGGTTTACCATCTTTAGTCTGGAAAACTGCAGTTCTCCTTGACTGAACTGGGGGGCAGAGGTGATGGAGGTAGCCTCAGGCAAGAAGACCACAGATTCGAACCATTCTTGCCTGAAGCTCTAGTACTTTTTCAGTAATTGATTCTCAATAGATAATTTCCAATGCCTTGAAATGGTTGATTTTTTAAATTACAGTTGACTCTTGAACCAATGTGGGAGGTAGGGGCACCAACCCTCTGTGTAGCAAAAGATTCCATGTAGAACTTTTGACTCTGCAGAAACTTAACTACTAATTAACCTACTGTTGACTAGAAGCCTTACCAAAAGAAGAGTCAATTAACACATGTCTTGTATGTTATATGTATTATGTACTGTATTCTCATAATAAAGTAAGCTAGAGAAAAGAATGTTATTAAAATCATAAATAAGACAAAATACATTTATAGTACATTACTATATCAGAAAAACCCACAGGGGCGACTGGGTGGCCCAGTTGATTAAGTGTCCAACTCTTGGTTTCTGCTCAGGTCATGTTCTTGCAGTTTTGTGGGTTCAAGCCGGCTCTGTACTGGCAGCATGGAGCCTGCTTGAAATTCTGTCTCCTGTCTGTACACCTCCCCCATTTGCTCTGTCTCTCTCAAAATGAATAAACTTAAAAAAAAATTTTTTTAAACCCACATAAAAGTGAATCCACAGAGTTCAAACCCATGTTGTTCAAGGGAAAATGGTAATTGTATCCATTTGTATACATATTTTTTTGTGTAGTGGAATTACTGACCTCTTCACACCACCATTACTTTGATAGTATTTTGAATACCAAAAGTGATAGATTTTATAAAGTTAGGCAGCCCCATTACTTGTCAGATTCCATGTAAGTACTTACTTCATTATTACTCTAGCACAATTGGTTGCCACCATTATTAGCAGTCACTCTTGCTGCACATTTTGTCATTAATCCTTAATATACTTTGAGACATGATAATGTTAATACAGAAGTCATTTTTTAGACATAATCTGATAAAATTAATTTAGACATTGATAGAAACAGAAATATAAGTTGTTTAGTTTTATTTTTCTCAAGTTTTTGAACAGTTTTGTAAGCAAATATCTCTTTAGAAAGCCTTACTTAAGATATTTATGTTTGTTTTATAATAGCTAAATTATAATTGGATTGCACAAATACTGTTTTCTTAAAAATGCATTATACAGAATTTACTTTAATATTTTAAGTAAGACCAGAAACCTATAAGGTAAATAGGAATATTTCAATAAGTTTGTTTAAATAAAAAATTTATGGGCACCTCTGTGACTCAGTCAGTTAAGCGTCAGATCCTCTGTCCCCATCTCTCTCTGCCCCTCTCCTGTGCATGCGATCTTTCTTTTTCAAAAATAAATAAACGTTTAAAAGATTTTAAATTCCCCTATAGGAAAATTCTATGCAAACAAAGTAAAAAAGCAAACAATAAACTGGGAAAAATATTTAGAACACTTTGACTAGACAGAGGCTAATTTCTTTGATATGTAGATCTTACAAATTGATTTAAAAAAGCAAGTATCAGAAAAGTAGGCTAATGAAAATGAACAGTTTTCAGAAGACATATAATGAATAGTGAACATACAGGGATGCTTAAGCTTCTAAAGAAATTCAGAGTAAAATAACTCTAAAATTCCATTTTCTATCTGTGGCAAAATATTAATGATGATGTAGGGGAAAATGAGCTCTCATTATTAGTGCTTTGGAAACAGCTATTCAAATTTAAGATACATATGCCATTTTATCCAACAATTCTAAGTATGCAAAGGATATGTGAGCTAAAGAATATTCATTGCTTTATTATTATAGAAGTAAACAATTAGAAGCAACTGAAATTTCTATTAATGGAGATCTGATGAGCTGCCAACAAATGGAAAACCATCCAGTTTTAGAAAAAAATGACATGACTCTATATGTAGTGACATAGAGTTGTTCCTTTACATAGTATGTCTGATTATGTTTGTGTGTGAATTAAAAATAACAGGAAGGATATTAACAATTCTCTGTAATGTGACCATCTTTGAAGAGTAGAGTTGGTGGAAGAAGAATTAGGAACAATCATGTTTCTGAACTGCTTGCTGTTTTTAATAAAAGCATGTATTAATTATGTTTAAAAGAGAATACATTATATAATAACTACCAAATTTAGAAATTAAGAATTATATGCTTATAAATGAAAGAATTAGAGCAAAAATTTTTCTGGATTGCTTCCTATTTATGTATTGAATATAAACCTTAATTAGTTTACAGAAGATAAAGTTTTCTGTTGGATAATATGCGTAATGAATGATTTCACTCTTTTTTTTTAAGAGAGAGAGAGAGAGAACCTTAAGCAGGCTCCACACCCATTGCAGAGCCTGACTCAGTTCTCGATCTCACCACTGTGAAATCATGACCTGAGCTGAAATCAGGAGTCAGACACTTAACCAACAGAGCCACCCAGGCACCCAATGATTTCATTCTTAAGATTTGAAATATCTTTTAAAAAAAAATGACCTGCTTGAATAAGTCATATGTTACATATATCTAGCATATGAAAGCAGTCTTATCACTGAGGAAGGAAAAGTTTAATAATCATTCACACTATATTCAAAATGTATTAGTTATTAGCATATTTCATTTAAAGTAATATTGGTTCAGGAATAGAAATTCTTAAATTGGATTGAAGAATACAAAGACTTATCTTTTAAGTCTTTTTTTATGCAGGTTATCCTGTAATAAGCATATTATAGTTGTTTTCTTTTAATTTTATAGTACTTTAAATTTATGAGTCATAGGTTAAAAATACTAATTATATGTGTATAATACATTTATTTTACATTACGGAATCAAATTTTATCACAGGTTTCGTCTTGATATATATCGCTGTTTGGCCAGTCCAGCTCTAATAATGTTAACAGAGGAGGATCCAATTCTGAGAGCATTTGAACTTAGTGCTGATTTAAAAGAATTAAGCCTTGTGGAGGTGGAATTCAGGTGGGAATGAATGGAAATTGTAAATTATATCTGTTTTTTTCAGAATCCCTTCAAGACCAAATTAATGTTTATTTACTTTTGATCCAAGATAACCAGACTTTGTTGCCACCTACTTGGGATTTATCTTCAGATTCAATGGAATAGACCTTGGTATTACTTAGGTCTCTCCTTCCCCATCTGTCCTTTGCCATTCTTGCACATCCTTAAGTCCCTCCCCATCTCTTGCCATATTTAATGTTGCCAAAGGCGTTCTAGGACAGTGTAAATAGTAGTGGGAGTGATAGCCTTAAGCAAGAGCAAATTTATTTATAACTGCTCTGTGTTCTACCTCCTCTCATTCCCGGATTCTATAATCATTTCCTGGAGCCTGATCCTTCATAACTTTAAGAAGCATATAGAATGCTTTCTGTGTGTCAGGGCCATTCCACACACACAGACATAGTACCTTTTCACTGTTTGGTGAGATTTTTTTAATTAGGAGACACATAACATGTAGACATAAAAATAAAATAATATACTGGTTAAGAGGGATGAATGCCACTCTGAGTTTTCTTCTGAAATGAAGACTTAAAATGTAATTTTGGCTCTTTGTATACTCAAAGAATCATTGTTATCAATTTCCCTGAGATAGTTAAATTGGAGGTACAGAAAAAGGCTTTTGGAAAAACCAGCCTATTAAACTACTGATTTAAACATTAAAAAAAAAAGTCCTTAGAAAACTACATTTTGTAGACTTGAGGAAAAGCTTTAAGACTTTCCTTTGTGTTAAAGTGTCCCTGGTGCCTTTCAAAGAAGGAGGAATTGATCAACATTTCTTGCCAGTTCCTTTTGTTAGGTTTCTGGGAGGCAGGCTATACCTATCCCTACCTTTCCTTTTAATTGTAGCTGCTGTGGGAGCCCCATGTCTTGCATTGTACTCCTCTAATGACTTGACAAGATTGGAAAAATTCAAACTTTTATTTATTGGAAGGGCAATAAGAAGCTTGCAGTTTTTCTATGCCTTAAGAGCATTTAAGTCCTAGACTAAGAAGCAGTGTGTTCTTGATAGCTTTGAGTTCTAGAAACTTTTAAATATACCTGTTTGTAAGTTTTCAAGTTTGGAACTCCTGTATTTCAATTTGGATAAATTAAAATTTATTTAAACCTGTTAGGACATAAAGTATGTACTTTGATAAACACAAACTTGTTGGTAGTCTTAACTTTATTAGCACATAAGACTGTTAGTAAGTTATTCCTTTTAAATATGAAGAACTTCCTATTATAGTTCTATAATTGGAGTTCTGAGTTAACAATTAAAATAGAATTCTATTCAAATCCTTCAAAAAAGGATTTAAAGCAACTGCCAAGATTGTACTGTAATCATAGGATAAAAAAGTTAGGTTTTGAAGTGATCATACAACCATTTACTTGTTTTACCTGTTCCTGGTTTTTATAGGCAGGAAAAATGATCTATATAGGTAAGATATCTTACCGATAACAGCATCTAATTAGAAACAGAGTTGTAACTAGAACTTAGGACTCTTGGCTTCTTGTCTACTGTATTTCCATCTAAACTATACAGCCATTTACTAATTTTCTAGTAATTTTGTCAAGATTAAACAAATTAGATTAATACAGTGTATTAGTTTTAACCTCTGAATTTAGTGGTCTCTCAGTGTTTACCTAAAGGTGAGACCTCTTTGTAATAATATATACTTTTGATGAATATTCCCGTCTATAATAGATTCCCAGACTAAGAAGGAGCAATATTTCATTTGTTTAAGAAATCCAATTACTTATTCTTATGTAGTTTTGATTATATAGTAAATGCAAAGAGTGGATGAGAAAAAAAATTAGCCTCAAAGGAAAGTTTTTAATTCTTTGAGTTATAATTTTCTACAAACTGGTCATGGAAAAATCCTATTGTATAGAAGATTAATCATTGGGAAATTTTTCTATTTTCTCTTCTTCTCCCATTAAGGAAAAAAACTGAATAAAAATTATTTTCTGAAATCTGACCCCAATTGACTCATATTTATTTCTACCTTTATTTTCAAGTTATTACACTCAGACATAAGTTTAATGTAACTGATATTTTTAAAAAAGATTAGCTGTTAAAACTTAATTTTTCACAAATTGGTTGATTTAGGTCTGCCTTTAACCAGCAGTTAAATCCTAAGTTTCAAGAAACAGTGATTCTGAAAGAAAATTCTTTACTAGGAGTATTTCAATGTCTTTTCTTCCCAACTTGAATTTTGTTCAAGTGAACACTTTAAAAGTGAATCAGAATACTATTTTAATATCAGAAATAGCATAAAACATGTTATAGATGATTATTGAAAACACCTCTGGTTAAGTAACAGTAATATTTATTGGATAGCATTATCTATTGTTTAGAGAAGTAATATAATAGGAAGATTTATACCTAACTTACAGAGAAAAAGAGCAAATGAGTTAAGTGAAGAACTGGTTGACAACTATAATCAGAACTTCTAAGAATATCAGTATATATAAGGAAATTTTGTGCTTGTCTAAAATTATCAGTGTGAACACAGGAAATATAATTGTTTTACAGTTTTCCCCAAAGCTTTGGAGAATTTGTGCACCAGTAGATTCTTCTGACCATCAGCACAAAATAACATCAGATTTTGTATGACCCTGTTAGAATTAAAATGTTACTGAGAAATTATTTTTTACTGAAAACAGCTGAGTTAGAGGCCAGAAGTGACATTTCTAATAATAGACTGTTGCATCTTGCAGGAATGATTATGAAGAATTAGCCCGGCAATGTAAAATGTTTGCTAAAGATTTGCTTGCACAAGCCCGGAATTCACGAGAATTGGAAGTTATCCTAAACCATACATCTAGTGATGAACCTCTTGACAAACGGGGATTACTAGAAGAAAGAATGAATTTAAGTCGTCTAAAACTTGCTATCAAATATAACCAAAAGGAGGTATGAGGTTTTCTGTGATATATATAAATTATTTCCTTCACAGTAGTGGAGTGATTTAAAGCAATTACTTAAGAATTAATTAAGTTTATGTACTTTAAAAGTTTATTACAATGAGCACTGGCATTAAGCAAGTACTCAGTAAATGGCAGTTGCTATTATTATTTTTTTGTAGGTTCAAGGACAGTTTCACTACTTACCTTTATTTTTAAAAAGTATAGTTGACACAAGTTGCTTTTAACAATATTAACTGTAATTATAATATGGATGTTAATGTTTTTGCAAATAGTAACTATTTAGGTAAGGTCTTGTATACTAAATATCTTCATAATGAAGTTTCCATCTTGTTTTGTCTGTCATACGTTGCTTTTATTGATCTGATTATCAATAGCCCTTTCTATAGTAATAATGCCTTTCTGTTTAAAAATAAAGTATCAGGTATTGTATTTTCTGGTTCTTATTTGTTAATTCATTGAAACTCAAAGATGGAGAAACACATGATATGATAACTAAATTGAATCTGGCTCTACCGGCATTATCCCTTCCTATTAAGGGAATACCTGTTTCTAATCCCCATACACACACACACACACACACACACACACACACACACACACACGATTCAGGAAATTGAAGAAGGAAGGTATGCATTTTAAATTTTATTTTTTTGAGACAATTTACTAACCATGGGTGCTTATTTGTAGAAAATGGTAGCCAATTAATATTATGAGGTATTGGTAAATGGTACTTCTAAGATATTTCTTCTAAGACCCATTTTTATTATCAATATATAGATGTTGGAAATAAAACTTGCTTATCAGATTTGTATTAATATAAAACTGGGGCCTGAGACAGGTAATGGTAGAAGGGAAGATATAGGACCTTTGCTGTAGCAGAATTTTGTTTTATTTTGGTTGAAAATTTGAGCCTCACAATAGTTTTGTGATTCGGGAAATTGGTATGGGAACTTTAAGATGTTTATTTTAACGTTACCTAGATAATATATTGCTTATCCAGATCTCTGGCTTCAAATGCTATGCTTTTTATAGTACTCTACGTTTCTTGCTTAAGGTATAACATTTTTTTAGAAAATTATTCTTAAAAGAGAGAGGGTGCACATAAGTGGGGAAAGGGCAGAGAGAAAGAGAAAGAGAATCCCAAGTAGGTTCCGCACTGTGAGCATGGAGCCCAACACAGGGCTTGAACCGACGAACTACAGGATCCTGACATGAGCTGAAATGGAGCCAGATGCTTAACTGACTGAGCCACCCAGGTGCCCCAAGTTAGAACATTTATAGGAAAAAGTTAAATACAAGAATTTGGATGAGTATACCTGTAAGATTATAAATCAACAATATACCTATATGCTTAAAAAGGAATATAACTACTAATGTGTATAAAGAGAAACAGAATATAGGACCCCTGATGTAATCTTTCTCTATACATGTTTTGACTATATCTTTAGTTAATTTATTTACTTTTCTGTTCCACAACCTGAAATAGACATGAAACACTAGAAAATCGTAAAGAGATAACAAGATACAAAATCAACTTAAGTGATTGGAAAAAGAAACTCAAAGAAAGTTGGAAAGACGAGATTTTCCTGGTGAGGGAAGGAAAAACTAAGAGTCAGTATCTAATGATATAAGTGTGTGTGTGTGTGTGTGTGTGTGTGTGTGTACATAATACACATATATATGTACATATATATATAGTCCTGAGGAACTCATAACCAAATGTTCCACTCTAAAGAATATGCAGGAAAAGGTAACAAGAAATAGTAGTAATATTTTTAGTTGAAAGGAAGATACTTTATAATTGTAAGGATGAATGAGAATATAGTTTTTAAAACTAGATTTCTAGATATTATCAAAAGGGAGGATAATATTTTCCCAAATACTTGGTATATTTTGTTTAGGTAATCTATCCTGAATAATAAACTCCTGATACTTTGTGCTATAAAAGTTTCATAATCTTTTGTAATAATTTCATAATCATTTTATTTTTTAAATACTTTATTAAAAAAATTTTTTTAATGTTTATTTTTGAGAGAGACAGAACATGAGCAGGGGAGGGGCAGAGAGTGAGGGAGACACAGAATCTGAAGCACGCTCCAGGCTCTGAGCTATTAGCATAGAGCCGCACACAGGGCTCGAACCCACAGACTGCAAGATCATGACCTGTGCCAAAGTCAGATGCCCAACCAACTGAGCCACCCAGGTGCCCACATAATCATTTTATTTTGCTCTTGGATTGTTTAGGCCAGGAATTAGGAAAGGGCACAGCAAGGATGGATAATTTGTCCTTGCTTCACTATGTCTAGGGTCTCAACTGGTGATAGTTCAGATAATTGGGGGCTGCAGTCATCTGGAGGCTTCTTCATTCCAATGTTTGGTGCCTGAGCAGCAGCTGAGGACTTGAACAGGGAGCTCTTGAGGAGCTGGGTACTCAGGTGGGTGGATCCATACAGGGTGGGCCTCCTGAGCACTTGCTACTAGAATTATGGTGGGGCATGGACATGATGGTGGATTGACTGTGAGTAGATGGTCTGAGAAGCCTCTGAGAGCTGCCCAGGGTGCCTACATGTAGCCTAAGCTTCCTCACAGCATGGTAGCTTCAGGATAGTAGGACTCTTTATATGGCCGTTAATGGCTCCAAGAGCAAATCTTCCTCAAACAAGGTGGAAGCTCCATGGCCTTTTAAAACCTACCCTCAGAAGTCACATAGCATCACATCTTCCAGCTGATTAAAGCAATCACAACCTTGTTGAAAGGTAGGAAACATTAATAATCCACCACTTGATGATAGAAGTAGGAAAAAATTTGTTTCAATGTTTTAAAACCACCACAAATATAAAACATTTCCAGTTGAAATTTTGTTATTCCAGTTACATATTTAACATTACTCTTAACTAAATCATTATATAGAGGGATGACAAGGACAGCCATCAGTTCTGAGATTGCTTTGATATTTGGGGAAAGGAGAAACCACTAAGTTTGGGATGCTACTAAACTGGATAGTTTGTGGGAGGAAAAGCTGTTTCTCTCCCTAGAATTTCATCTTAAGAGACAAATTAAGATTCCTTAATAGCACTGGAATCTGAGCAGAAGAATGGAGAATGAAGTAAGACTTCAGTGCCAAAAACAAGTATAATATATTAGGAAACTTATTTTTTTTAAGATTTTTAAAAAATGTTTATTTATTGTTGACAGAGACAGAGGGAGGGAGGGGGGGCAAAGAGAGAGAGAGGATGACCTGAACTAAAGCTGGATGTTTAACCAACTGAGCCACCCAGGTCCCCTTAGGAAATTTCTTAATAAGCACAGTAAATAACAAGAAAAACCCTGTCCAGATTTTTTTATTATAATTTTACAAATTATATTCTACCTCAAGATAAATCATTTTAAATCAGAAGATCGACCAGTTGGTATTTAGATATCTGAATAACATTATGATCACTTGTGCTTTGGTCATTTCAAACCTAATCACATTATTATGTCTAGAGTTCAGAATCCTGAAGTTATCCTGCACAGCATGAACATTATATTGAGAAAATACTGCTTCTGAAATTTGTAAACTAAGAAGCCTTTGTAAACTTTGAACTATACTTTCTATACTTGAACTAGAATTTCCCTTTATTTTTCCTTTTTTTTTCCTTAAATAGAATTCACTCTTAAGCAGATTTAAGAGCATAACACATTTTAAGAAATTCTCAATGTTTTCATGAAGCGTAAATATATCTCATTTGAGACTTTGATTGCTTTGCTATCTTCGTATCTTGGTTTCTCATAATTGAAATCGAATAAGCTCTTCGAGACCAGTTTTTTTCTTTGGATTGTGCTTGTTAGCTTTGAAATTTCACAAACATTATGAGACTGTCTAGAAATTAAAATTTGTAAAATGGCTAAGTAGGCTAGTAAAAATGATTAATAACATGCTACATGCTATGAATCAGGCGTTAATTATTCTAAGAGCTTTACATTTAATCCTCACTAACAAGTTTATGAGTAGAGACCATTATTATCCCATTTAATAGATGGGAAATTTGGGGCTTAAAGAAGTTAAAGACTTGGGAGGCCTGAGTAGCTCAGTCGGTTAAGCATCTGACTTTGGCTCAGGGCATGATCTCACAGTCCATGAGCGCCATGTTGAGCTCTTTGCTGACAGCTCAGAGCCTGGAGCCTGCTTCAGATTCTGTGTCTCCCCTGCATCTCTGCCTCTCCCCTGTGTCTCTGCCTCTCCCCTGCTCATGCTCTCTCTCTGTCTCAGAAATAAACAAACATTTAAAAAAAAAAAAAAAAAAGGTTTAAAGACTTACTCCAGGTCAATTATTAAGTGGCAGAGCCTGGATTTGAACCCAGGTAATCTGGCTCCAGAGTCTGTGCTCTCAACCTCTACATTCATTTATTACATGTAAGAAAAACAAAAAATGTGGACTATATAGAATTGATTTTAAACTATTATTAAAACTTTGAATGTCAATTACATAATGGTATTATCAGATTATATTTACAGGTTTTCTTTTTTTCTTTCTTTCCCTTTTTGTTTTTGTTTTTGTGTGTGTGTATGTGATTTGCAGTTTGTTTCCCAGTCCAACTGCCAGCAGTTCTTGAACACTGTTTGGTTTGGACAGATGTCAGGTTACCGACGTAAGCCCACCTGTAAGAAGATAATGACTGTTTTGACAGTTGGCATCTTTTGGCCAGTTTTGTCACTTTGTTATTTGATAGCTCCCAAATCTCAGTTTGGCAGAATCATTCACACTCCTTTTATGAAATTTATTATTCATGGAGCATCCTATTTCACATTCCTGCTGTTACTAAACCTATATTCTCTTGTCTACAATGAGGATAAGAAAAACACAATGGGGCCAGCCCTTGAAAGAATAGACTATCTTCTTATACTGTGGATTATTGGTAAGTGTCAAGTTTATTCAAAAGATTCTGCTTTAGTAAGCCATTTAATTCTCCTTTGCTTGGTGGTATTATAAACATGTGTGTTCAGTTTATAATTTTACACTGTTTACAGAGCAAGAAGTTGAACACTTTCATGATCATTGAAGACTTATCTAACATTTTTCTAACAATATATGATCCTGAACTTGATGATAAGGGTGCACATCTCATTTATTATTACTTAACTACATGGAAGTTAAAGATTCCTTATTCTCAGTCTCTAAAATTGTTCATGATCATTAAAAAAAATTTTTTATGAGTATTATGCTGTATGATAAATATTTCAAATGACCTTTTGTGGTTTTTATAACTCTCTTCCCTTTTCTGTGGGGGATGGAGGAGAGTTGAGGTATAATCACATTGTCCATTTATAGTCTTTTTTGTTTTTTTCAAATCTTTATTTTTGAGAGGGACAGAGTGTGAGAGGGGGAAGAACAGAGAAAGAAGGAGACAAAGATTCCAGGCCCTGAGCTGTCAGCACAGAACCCGACCTGGGGCTCATACTAACAAACCACAAGCTCATGACCTGAGACAAAGTCAGACACTTAGTCGACTGAGCTACCCAGTGTCCCTATTTATGATCTTTTAATGACATCTTTATTTCCCACTGGATCTTCAGCCTTGTTTTTAAACTCAGCACTTCTCACCCATCTTTTTACTGTTTGCTATAGAGTAATAGGATATTAAAATTTAGTCTCTTCTATGGTATAAAGCACTGGTTGATCAGTATGTTCCTATTGGTTTAATAAAAGTTTGAGAAAAATTAATGTATCATTTTAACTTTTAGTTTTCCTTCAGCTATAAGAATAATCTGCATGTTTTGGAATTTTAATTTTTATTTGGAAGTTAACTTCAAGTAACTTGATTTCAATCAGAGTTTTTATATTTAGTAGTATTCAATCCATTATGCATTAAGGTTTAAAATTAGACAGATAAAATAAAAATAATACACATCTTGGATATGTTAGGACATTCACTTTGTGATGCAGACCAGTCAAGAATGTATACGAGATGAGTTTTAGAGAGGGGTTTAGAGATATTATCAATTATGTAAATACAGGTCGAATTTAGAGATATAAATTTGGAGTCTGCCCACAAATGGTAGTTAAAGCCATTAGACTAGACTGGATAAGCTCACTGTAGGAGTGAGCATAATAGAGGGAAAAAAAGAATCAGGAACTGAGCCTTTGTGTGGGGTGTGTGTGTGTGTGTGTTCATTCAATTTATTTTTCTTATGCTTGTCTCACATCATTTATTAAAATTTCTCTCTGGGAAAGATATTGTCATATAAAACTTAAGGTTTTTTTCTTTCAAATTTTGAAAACTTATTACTAAAAAGCTCTTCTTTTTTTTTCTGGATGGGACTGTAGTTTGACCAAGTTGTTATGTATTTAATATTTTCAGTTTTAATTATTTTTTTAGCTTATTGTTGAATTAATAACCTCTGATTTTTTTTCTTCCTTTTTTTAGGGATGATTTGGTCAGACATTAAAAGACTCTGGTATGAAGGGTTGGAAGACTTTTTAGAAGAATCCCGTAATCAACTCAGTTTTGTCATGAATTCACTTTATTTGGCAACTTTTACTCTCAAAGTGGTTGCTCACAACAAGGTGACTATTAGCTATGTTAATTGGAGACATAAATGAAGTTTGTGTAGGAAATGTAGCTATATAACTCAAAGTTAGCATTGGCCCAAATCTGCACCTGATGTGTTTTCATTTTAAACCTGTCCCATCATAAGGGAATAGTGTGTGTTGTTTCCTCCCTTCCAGTAGTTTAAAGGATGTTAATTACCTTTAAATGTTGGTTACCTATTATGTGCCAGGCTCCATGGTTGCTACTTGCTATACTTTATCTCATTTTATCCTCACAGGGACTCTATGAGACAGATGTCTTTATCCCCATTTTGCAAATAAGGAAAAGGAGGCTCAGAGATATTAAGTAACTTATCCAAGACCACACAGTAAGAAACCAAGACTGGATTTAAATCCAGGTCTGTCTAGGCATTTTCTTTATACAAATGCCAATTCCTTATATCTAAGTTAGGTTCATTTACCTCATTAATGTGTATATACTTAAAGTGAGAACACAAAGATACTTATATTGATTAGTGTTAGTCCTCTTTATACATGCTAGAAAAAAGTTTTGTCTTTAAGAATCAATTATAGTGTTTTACACATTCCAAATCATGATTATTATCTTCCATAGCTTAAAGAGTGATGTAAATGTGATTATTTTTGGATGCCTCTATTTTTAAATTTAGAATTTGACAAAAATTTAGTTTTATACACATCTTACAATTTTACCAAGATGTAAGCCACTCCAAGCCCAGAAAAGGTAATAGATTTTATGTTAATTATCTTTGTTTAAGCCCTTTGTTTAAGTTTAGAATTCTTCTAAGATGTCACAGTCAAGGTACTAAGAGATATATTATTTTCTTGTTTTTGGACTAATTTACACACTGTAGAAAAAGAAAGCTAATTAACTTATACATCATTTTACTTTGTTAAAAACAACAGCAACAACAACTGCTTTCCTTTAAATGATCAGTAGTATGGAACATGTTTGTTAGGTATTTTCAATGACCAGATTTGTGAAATTATCAAGAAAACTTAAAAAATGATCATACATAGATAAATGGCTCAATAAAGACGTTGAGGGTCAACGGTGTCTTTGACTGATATCTTTAGTTGTAGAAGTGAGGTGCCCATTATAACTTTTTATCCAAACCAGGACACTTTGAGAATAAAAGGGCATTAATAATTATGTCAGGAAAACTGGTATGGGACTCTTCCAGACAATTGGAATACGTGGCCCCTCTATATCTGGGTATAATAATGCACTCTCTCTCTTGGTATTCGAAGGGAGAAGAACTTCTGCGTTCATACTAGAAACTTGAGTTAAACGGCTAATTTAAAGGTTAACTAATATGATAGCTAACTAACTGAGAGCAAACATACTAAAATTTTACTTAATATTTAAAGTTTGTGTTGTAGAATTTAAGGAAAACTAGTAAACATTTCGTTCATAAAAAGTTTAATGACATTTTTTTTAAAAGTTTAATTTTTTAAAACCCAAGAATTTCTGAAAAAATCTCCTTATATAAAGTTATATTGCCTCATGTAGCTAGAGATCTTTTATTTAGTTAAAATAATGTTATTTGTATTAAAAGAAGAGAACCTTATAAAATATAAAAGGAGATCTCCTAAAATAGACATGAATAGTTTTCTTTCAATAGTCAGAATACTTGGTTTTATTTTCCTAAGTTGAGAGAGCTCTTTATCTTTGGCTTTTTCTTCCCATCTTTAGTTTCATGATTTTGCTGATCGGAAGGACTGGGATGCATTCCATCCTACTCTGGTGGCAGAAGGGCTTTTTGCATTTGCAAATGTTCTAAGTTATCTTCGTCTCTTTTTTATGTATACAACAAGCTCCATATTGGGTCCGTTACAGGTAAATAATATTTCTTAAAGAATGTTTGTTAGATGTCATTATTACTATATTTTTCTGTTGGTCCAATAGAACATTGTTCTCTCATGATGTTAAACTTTGCTTTTGAAAATAATTAACAACTGAGAGGACACGCATGTTCATCTACTTTGCTTCTGGCTGAATAATAATCCTTTGCTTTCAGGTATTCAGACTTTATTAAGCTATGGCCTCTTTTTGTCCCTCTCCCCTCTGTTCACAGACATAGTTGTGTTTAAAATGTAGTTATACTTCAGACAGTAGAAGAACATGAAAATCTTGTTTTTTGCCAAAATGAATCTCACATTTAAAGTTTTAAATAATACATAGGGAGGTGTTGTATGAAAAGAATTTGTACTTAATGATGATTTTGAAAATTGTAAGCTATCTTAAATACTTTCACTTTAATAATTGTTAAATGTAATAAGTTGGAAAACGACATATTTAGAAATAACAAATTTCATAGAGTTCATTTAGTCCAGCTTTAGGCTTTATAGTACTTCATAGCTCACAAAATTGAGCTTTTGAGATGGTATGTGATTTGTTCAGAGTGGAATGATTATTCGTGAGAGTCCAGGACTAAATTCTAAGTCTCTTTACATTAAAGAAAGTACTCATAATTGGTTGCATTTACTCCACAGATTATAATAATGATTGTTTTTATAGGACAGGGATCAACTCTGCTAGGTGACTAGCTCTACATATATTATGAGTTATGAGCCTGAGAGTCTGAGCAATATTCAGTGTCTTGATCAGTCAAAATTTATTAGAAATGTAGATTTTTAAAAACATTTTTAAGGGAGATGTCTTAAATAAAAGGCATAATTATGTTCTCCAAATAGAGATATAAAAATAAAATAGGTAGGAAAAACTTGGTTTGATTTGGCATGTGCTGTCATCCTGTAACAGTATTTTCTGGGGTGCAATTTCCTTAACCAAGTCCTGGTTACTCACAGTGCACATTATCACATTAAAGCTTGTAAGAAAGAGGTAAAGAAACTTATTTAACCTTGTTCAAACTATCATTACATAAACACATTTAATGTGATACTCATTTTTCATTTGGTATGTTCAAGTCTCTGTATTTCTCCAAAAAATAGTAAGTGAAACACTGGTTTAGACTGTTACTTTGATTTAATTTCGCCACTAATATCTTCTATGAATTTTTTAGTCAGTAGTCAACAGTATTTTTACATGCATGTTGTATTTTTGTTTTTTTGCTTTTTTGGGTAAAAGCTGATGATATCACTAAGTTTCTTTTTTTATATATGTATCACCAAGTTTCTGTATTTTTTAAAATTTCTACAGAGAGTTAAAAAGGAAAAAGTATGCTGTTATTTCTTAGTGAATTATCTGGTTTTTTTTTTTGTTTGTTTGGTTTTTAAATGTTTTATTTATTTCTAGGAGAGAGAGGGAGAGAGACAGCGTGAGCAGGGGAGGGTCAGAGAGAGAGGGAGTCACAGACTGAAACAGGCTCCAGGCTCTGAGCTGGCAGTCAGCACAGAGCCCGACGCGGGGCACGAACCCCCCCACGAACTGTGAGATCATGACCTAAGCGAAAGTCGGACGCTTAACCGACTAAGCCACCCAGGCGCCCCTGTGAATTATCTGTTTTTCTTAGAATTATGGAGTCAGATCTTCTGACTTAATCTCTTCCCAAAAGAAGTATAGATGTTATTACAAATACTGAATAAGTGGGTTTTTGTCATTTCAACTGTTGTGTTTTTCTTCTCCAACAGGACTATTTATATTGTTGCAATAGCCATAGAACTGACAGATGATTTAGGCGAAGCCAACAAATATTTATTGTGTTTTATTTTTTAAAAAGGTCTGCTGGTTACTCATAATATATGCTTAAATATTATGATTTAGTTCAGCAAACGATTTTTTAACATTCTCTTCATTGGGGAACCTTGTGGCTTAGTCAGTTAAACATCTGACTCTTGATTTCAGCTCAGGTCATGAGCTGAAGGTTTGTGAGATTAAGCCCCACCACCGGCTCTGCACTGACAGCATGGAGACTGCTTGGGATTCTCTCTGTCTCTCCCTTTCTATCTTTCTCTCTCTCTCTCCTCCCCATCCCCTGCTCATGCGCTCGCTCGCTCTCTCTCTCTCTCTCTCAAGGTAAGTAAATATTTTTAAAAAATTAATAGAATAAAATAAAATTATCTTTAGTAAGATATACTTTGCATACAGTAAAATAAGCCCATTGTAATGATATAGTTTAAGAAGTTTTGCAAAAGTGTATCATTGTTTAATCAGTACAGTAATCAAGATAGAGAGCGTGTACATCACCCAAAACGTTTCTTGGCACCTTTTTACATTTAAAACTCCCCTTACCCTCATCCCAGACAACTTTTGTCTGGTATAGGCTAGTCTCATAACTGAAGGATTTGGAAATACAAATAGAATTAGTCTGGTAAAAGCAAATCTTCCCAGACAGAAGGTTGTCTGCAATCTTTAGAGCACTGCTGTTCCTCATGGTTGCAAGCTCCCTGTTCCAACTGATTATATCAAGTCTTTTTTTTTTTTTTTTTTTTTTACATTTATTTATTTTTTGAGAGACAGAGCACAAGCGGGGAAGGGGCAGAGAGAGGGAGACACAGAATCTGAAACAGGCTCCCGGCTCTGAGCTGCCAGCACAGAGCCCGAAGTGGGGCTTGGACCCACAACTGTGAGAGTATGACCTGAGCTGAAGTCGGCCGCTCAACCGACTGAGCCACCCACACACCCCAGATTATATCAAGTCTTTATCCTGTAGGGAGAAGGGGAAAGACAGAGGGCAAAAGCCAGAAAACACGGGCCAACTGTCTTTCTCTTTTTATTTTTTATTTTTTTAATGTTTATTCGAAAGAGAGAGAATAGGGAAGGGGCAAAGAGAGAGAGAGGGAGATACAGAATCTGAAGCAGGCTCCAGGCTTTGAGCTGTCAGCACAGAGCCAGATGGGGGACTCAAACTCACCACCAGGAGATCATGACTGGAGCTGCAGTCAGATGCTTAACTGACTGAGCCACCTAGGCGCCCCCTGTCTTTCTCTTTTTATCAAGAGAGCATTTTCCCTGGAGCTCTACTACATATTTACACTTAAAACTCATTGGCCGGAATTCAGTCCTATGATTATTTGTAGCTACAAGAAAGTCTGAGGAGATGAGTACTTTCAATTGCCCCGCAAGAAATCACGGTCTGGTTAGTCTGGAAGAGGGCAAAAAATTGATATTGAATAGGAATCTGTAGATTACTATTTTTAGGCTTTTACTTAAAAGAAATTTTCAAATAAAGCCATTTGTGTTCCAGTGTCGTCTTACTAACAAGACAGATTTGTATTGCATAGTTCTGCCAAAATATTCTAGAAAAAGTTCTTGTACAAAATTTGGAATACAGTTTTTTTTCCATTTTGTTCATCATAAGTAAGGAATTCAATTAAAATGGAGTAACCCAGTTATAAGTGTAAAACTAGAAGTAAAATGCAAAAAGAAAATTGATAATAAATTAATTACTTTAGCAAAAGAGCAACTTTATTTCTTTATGTATGTAACCTGCTATGTCAGATAATGTTTTTATCTGATTACTGCAGTTGTTTGTTAAATTTATCTCCATTTACTAACACTTTTTCTTTCCAAATTTTTGCAGAAGTTGATAGATTTTTATTATAGCTGGTTATATAACCTGTGGCTGGGGTACAGATTATGCCCTTGATTAGAATGACCATAATTTATCATCCAATTAGAAACACTTTGGGGAATTAAAAGTATGCTATTAATTACTAAACAAGTAACTGTCTTAGGCAAATCAAGGTCACAGTAATATCATATAGTGGAATATATAAAATGGTTCTATATTCAGGAGTTGTTGAATCCTCTATTTTAGCACTTGACTTTTTATGATTATGCTCATGTAATTTGTAACTTATGTCATAGGTAGACTCTGGAAGGTGGCCTTCTACATCTGACCCTACTTACTTTGTAGCCATCTCTCACTAAACTCATCTCTGTCCCTTACTGAAGTACTTCTCTGTCTGGGCCAAGACCAGTCACTAATCTCACACATGTCCCATGCTATCCCGTTTCCATGTCATTGTTTATGTTATTACCATATTTAGAAGGTCCCAGCCATTCCTCCACTTGTCAAAATTTTCATTCAAGAAACAGTTTTTGAGTGCCTGGTAAGAATTCTAGACACTGAGAATACTAAAATTAATAAGCTTTGGGGCACCTAGCTCAGTCAGAAGAGCATGTGACTTTTGATCTTGGGGTTGTGGGTTCAATGTTCAATGTAGAATTTACTTTAGTAAGTAAATAAGTAAATAAATAAATCTGGGCGGGGGGGAACAAAAAACGATTAAGCTCCAATATGTCGTTAAGGAACTCAAGTACACTGAGGGTGACAAGCAAGCATGACATTTACAGTGGTAATTGCTGTCATAGACACAGCTCATAGAAAGGGCACTCACTTCAAGTTAAGGCACTTCCCAGAGGAGACGACACTGGAATTAAGCCTTGAAAGATCAGTAGAAAGGAAGTGGGTTAGGGGCTTCCAGGGAGAGGGAACATGTGCCAGCTTTAGAGCTCCTGCCACTAGAAAATCCATTCGTATGCTCTCGGTCCCCTGCTAATGAATAACTCCATCCAGTGAACTTGGTACTTTGAACCTCCAATGAGCACTTCCTAAAGCTTTTCTTAATTGTAAGACAATTAAAATTTAGCTTGTCTTAAATTATAGACGGTGTTGTTTCTACTAAATTAAAAATTCCTTGAGGATAGGGACTATATCTTTATTTTTTCATTTGCACTTTACTCACTGCCTTGTGATATTAGTCACTTGCTGTTTGATAAACTGAATTGAATGGGCTTGATTGAAAGTGCTGATTGGTGTGTTAGAAAAATAAAGCTGTTGCGCTACATCTTAGCTGTCACTGGAGCTGCTTATTCAAAATAATAACAACCATATTTGTTGAACATTTCCTGTGTACCAGGCACTGTGCTAA